TTTTAAACAAAAATATTAGCAGAATGTAATAAGAGAAAAGAGATAAAACATCTTTGTGGAGTTGACTTTCTACTGCCAGGTTCACAACAAGCTGTTAACTCCAACAACTGTGGAATTTAGAAGCAACCCATTACTTCCCCTGAAGAGAGCTGACTAAACCAACCAGACTGCAACTTAGGCCACTGAGCTCATCTGAAAAAAAAAAAAAATTCTCCAGCATATAAACAACATGAAATATAAATTATTTAGAATTATATTGTTTATCATAAGAATTGCCTACATTTTCATTTCAGTTACTTATTAACTTTCTAGCACAAGTTAAAATAAGAAATTTGCTAAGAAAATGCAAGAGGTTAGGTAAAAACACACACAGTTGCAAAATTTTGTTCCTCAAATCTACTAACAGTAAATGTAATGAACAGAATCCACAGTAGTACTGGAATATGGAATAAACCCCAATACTATGAGAGCATAAAAGTAAATGGAAAGTGAAGTTCTTTTTACACAAAGTAAACTGTCTGAATTACTGCATAGCATCTTTAGCAGTTCCTCTCACTCTTATGCCCTGAGAAGCATACTAACCTCAACTTTTTTCACCACTGACATTTAAAAGTCAGCCTTTGGACCAACTATGAATGAGTTTGCATATGACAAGAACAATGATCAGCAGAACATTTTATCTCCTCCTTAGGCCTTAAGATTTCTGTAAAAGAGGGGAGGCAAACAAGATTGGCATATATATATATTTATACCACACACATATACATATTCTGTATATCACAAACACTGTTATAATTCCAAATATGTTAATGATTGGGTGTACTGGGTCTGGGTGAGACAGGGCTAATTTTCTTCCCAGCAGCTCTCAAAATGCTGTGCTTTGTACGGGAAGCTGGAAAGGTGCTGGTAACACATCAGTCCTTGGCTACTGCTAAGCAGTGCCAGCACAGACAACAACAGCACAGTCAGCACTGTCTCTGTAAAATTCCCCCTCACCAGAAGGCTGGGGTTGGGCAAGATCCTGGGAGGGGACACAGGCAGAACAGCTGAGCCAAAGTGACTCCCATACCATATGGTATTAGCTCAGCAACACAAGCCAAGAGAAGAGAGGAGGAGGAAGCCAGCATGAGAGGGAAAGGGGGCATTCCTTATTTATGACACGTCTTCTGGAGCAAACTCTATGCATGCTGAAGCTCCACTTCCCAGAAAGTGGCCAGACACTACCTACCGATGGGATCTTTTGGTTTCCTTTGGTTCCATTTGTGGACTATGCTTTTGCTTTAATAAACTGCCTTTAGCTTGACCCAAAATTAATTTCTTCAATCTTATTTTCTTTTTCCTGTTCTGCTGAGGGGAGAGTCAGAGTGGTTTGGTGGGCACCTGGTGTTCAGCCAGGGCCATCAAACTATATTGGGACAAAATAGTGGGATTATTTTTTTTGAGAATTATACAATGGCATGGAAACTCACTGATGCCAGGAAAATAACAGTGCAGCTAAACTTGATGCAACTAAATTTCAAGAAACATATAGAAATTAGCTTCCTAGGGGTACCAAAATTCTTAAACATTTCTTCACAGAATTCCACAAGTGGCCTATCTGGAGCGGTACACTGATGTTATCTACCCTTGTACAGAGGAGATGCAGAAACAGAAAAAAAGTGTCACCTTTCAGTCCTCTGTCATTTCCCATTGAAATGTTGGTGTCAGGACTCTCACAGCTTGTTAATGCTAAACTCCTGAAGAGAGATGGACTGCATGAAAGGTTGTCTGCCAGTAACATCCACAGCAGTGAGACTATTAATTTTAATTTGCCATTAAGTTCTTGGACAGAGAGAGAAAAAAGATGATACTAATGCCTCAGCTGCTGCATTTGACATCATATTTTCAGTAAGTGAAGTACCATCATTGTTGTGTAAACTTGCAAGGGAAACCTGAATTCTGAACCCACTGTACTAGACACACTATGAAGCCAAATCAATGATACTGATCCAAAATGTGAGAACATGCAAACCAATCCCAAATCTGCCTAAGCAGTACTGTAGACTCTCATTCTAACTTCCACCAAGAGAAATATCTGTCTTAGACTAGTCTAAGAAATATCTGTCTTAGACCTTCAGAGACCTCAACAAGTTAGAGAGCTGGGCAATCACCAACTATATGAAGTTTAACACTGTCAAGTGCCAGATTCTGTACTTAAGATGGGGCAACCCTGGATGTACAGACAGACTGGGGAATGAGAGGCTGGAGAGCAGCACTGAGGAAAGGGACCTGGGGGTTCTGGTCAGCAGAAAACTGAACATGAGCCAGCAGTGCCCTGGCAGCCAGGAGGGCCAACCCTGTCCTGGGGGGTATCAGGCACAGCATGGCCAGCTGGGCAAGGGAGGGGATTGTCCTGCTCTGCTCTGAGCTGGGGAAGCCTCACCTTCAGCACAGGGGGCAGTTTGGGGTGCCACAATATAGAGAAGAGATTAAGGTATGAGACAGTGTCCAAAGCAAGGCCACAAGGATGGTGAGAGGAAGCCTTATGAGGAGCTGCTGAGGTCACTTGGTCTGCTCAGCCTGGAGGAGACTGAAGGGAGACCTCATTGCAGCCATCAATATCTTCATAGAAGGAAGAGGAGGGGCAGACACTGATCTCTTCACTCTCATGACCAGTGACCAGAAATCGAGGAAATGGCATGAAGCTGAGTCAGGGGAGATTTAGGCTGGATATCCATGGAAAGGGTGGTTCAACACTGGAAGAGGCTCCTCAGGGAAGTGATCACAGCACGAATCCTGTCTGAATTCAAGAAGCATTTGCACAATATTCTGGAGCACAGGCTGTGACTCTTTGGGTGTCCTGCACAAGGCCAGGCACCGGACTTGATGATCCTGATGGGTCCCTTCCAATTCAGCACATTCTATGATTCTGTGATTCTTCATATGCAGCTTAAGTAATTATCCTCAATATATGAGGGAAACCTAGGCTTCCTTTCTGGAACATGAGAAAAATAATTTCTTACAGGGGAGAGGACCTACCTAAGGACCTCAGCTAAGCCTGGACTGCACAGAAACATTAGCATTCATTGCTCATTATTAAAAAAAAAAAAAGGGTACATGAAGTTACAGGGAGTAACTGCAACACAGTAGTTATTTCATATCTGATACACATTTTTCAGCCTGGACAACTGAGATTCAAATCTGTAAAAACATCTCATAAAAAAAACACTTAAAAAATAAAGTTATAGAAAATTATATGCTAGAAAAATTTCCAGTGGCCTTTTTTCCAATTTAATTTCTAATAGCTTCATCTCTAAAGGCATTATTTTTGAGCAAGAGTATTGTAACATTCCTATAGAGCCAGAAAATTACTGCAACAAATTGAGAGAATGCCTAGGATGGTATATATTACATTAAAAAATAGAAGTCTAGACTTTGCCTCCTGTTGACTGGATGCTGTCTTTTTGGGTAATATGACTCCATATTTTAGTATACGGCCACTACCTATGTCTTCATATTTAGGGCTGCACATGAATACAGCTTTAAAACTGTGCATGAATTCCTGTTTTACTCTAACACAGAGAGTTATCTTCTGAATAGTCACTGCCCCCTTCCAAAGTTTGTCTTTTCATGACTTTTTAATTGGAAACTTACAAAGGAACGAAAACACAATTTCCCATCAGCAGCACTATTTCTCATTGTTAAAAATTTCTTGCAAAACACTATGTATTGGAAAAGAGCAGACCATGCCTAATTTGTGTATTGGCAATTTATTCTACCAAAGAAACTCCACATAACATAATCTTTATATCCAGTTGCCAAGACATAATTTTCAATCAAATGTCAATTTAATTAAACAGAACTCTTCCTTCCCTGATTTTACACAGATACAACTTCTCTGAGAAGCAAGAAGCAAAATTTGAGTCTCACAATACATCTTTAATATTCTTCAAACTGCAGGCACCTAGTGTAACAGAATGACTACTGCTAGGTAACAGATGTACTGTCACAGTCATTACCCAAAGAAATACCAAACACTGTCCATCTTGCTTAGATTGTTACCTTTGTGCATTCAATTAATTCTTTCCCAATCATACTTATGACTGTTAGGAAGAACAGTGTAAGACTGCATTCATTACCTGGTCAGAAAAAGACTGCAAGGAACAATAGAACTTCAGTTAAATATTTTTGAACTTAGGTTGATACAAAATTGCTTTTTACTCAATGCTATAGCATCCCAAGTCAAACATTCTTTCCATTTCACTAGTACAATGCATAATAACAAAATACTTCCAAAACAATACACATTTCTATTCTGAAAGGCAGTAAGTGATTTTATCTTTTAAAAAACCAACAAAAAAACAACTCACAAGGTTTATTCAACATGGCATTGGAATGTGTCACTACCTTCATGCTCATTCAGGTGGTTATCAATTGATCCTTACCTGTATCACCTGGAAAAATGCTGTGGCAAATAAGATTACTAATGCTTTTCTAGGGCCAAAGCACAGTAAAATTCAGCAAAACATAACCATCTCATCTAGAAATACCATTTCCAAACCCTAGAAATTGAAAAATTATTGGGGATGAGCCAGTCATTCAAACTAGGAAAAGAATTAAAATAGAACCTATTTTTTATCTCCATCTTCTGGCAGGTTGTCATGATTTGGGTTCTTTGGCACAAAGAAAAATATCAGCAAGGTAATAGGGTGAAATAAACTGAACAGCCAAACAAAAAATAGCTACAAAATTTCACAGCAAGAAATAAGAAAGTAACCAGGATGAAATACAGAACAGTGTCTGAGAGGGAGAAGAAAACACAAGATGACTCAGAAAAAGACAGACAATTCAGAAATACATTTAATGTCTTTACTGAATGTACACAATACAAAGAATTGCAAATAGTACATTAGACTATTTATACAGCTTTTACATTGTATTTTTATATTGCTTTTCCATTGTGCTTATGCTTTCCTCACCTCTTTTCATAATGATTTTTTTTTTTAATTACCCATATTTACCAGATTCCATGGTCATCTGAAGTAATCCATCAAGAGCCCTGGAAAGCAGACTTGTACTGGATACTTTTAGGTGACTTAATATGACAGGCACAGATTGGTATTCCACAAATAAGGCCTTCCCTTCATCTGTCTTCAAGTCTACACGAAGGGACTCAAATGCCTGAGCCAGGTAATCCACTGAAAATATCAGAATACAGGCAATAAAACTTCTACAGTCATTGTTTCATTAAGCCACGTGAACAACTACCTGACAGCTACCATGGCAGATAGACACTTAAAAGTTAAACAGATGCAAATATTAAATTTATTTTTTATTTGAAGACACTCTCTGTCTATTTTTATTCCTTAACAATCCATTGTGAGTAGAGAAAAATATTATCTACAATTCATATGTTTAAGAAAAATATACTTACAAATGTAAAGTCCTGCAAATATTTTGTTAAAGAGGAAAGAAAATACAAAATCGCATAGTTTGAGACAATGCTGATTTCAACATCTGGGAAACCTTTATTAAGGGAGTCAGTGGCTGATTGATCTGAGTGAGAGCAATTATTTTCATGAGAGCAACTAGTCTCATTCCTTCTATAAAAAGCTGTATATTTCAGTATAAACATTTTATATTCTCATCCATTCTGAGAAATTATACAAAGTATGTAGATTAAGTGTACCAATCTATTTTCTTAACTTCTTGCTGTCAAATCTTCCTCAGTACCTTGGAATTGCCTTGATAATCTGGAGCAGAAGGAAACAATTTATCCTACTGCATAAGTTTAACTAGGGTGCCATCTGCTGGATACTGACATTTTGAAGGAATGAGGACATATGTTCAAACCAAATCTGCTATTTTATCACCAGATCATTAGTGCCATGTGGTCAGAGTGATCAAAATTCATACACGGTGATATCTGACATATGTTTAACAACAGATCATATTTTCTGTGCTACAGCAGCCAGCAGCACAAAGCAACCAAGAAAAGCTAAACTGATTCATTCTAATCACAAGTGTTCATCTGCTTAGGGTAAATCAGTCTCTGCAATGACTAGTTTTTTATTTCAATTCTTCTTGCATTGTTTTTATCAAACATTCCTAGAATGTGAGTCTCAATTTGAGACTAATTATCATGCTTCACCAAAATAAGTTGACTGAAATAGTTCCCTCCAACAGCTGGAACATTGTGTTAGTTCATGAATGATGTCTGCACGGTCTTCCATCATGTTTTATTCCCATGTTTACTATAAATACTCACAATATAAATATTGCACAGGTCATTAAGCATAAAAACATACTAATCTGCTTAAATACCAAATTCTGTGAATAAAAACTGTATTCAGTATTTATGTATTTAAAATATTTGGCATTCCTGTTTTGTGTCAATTGGGGTCCCACAGATAGTAGCAATTTTGTGACGTGGATCTCTGCTGTCTAAAAAATGCCCCAAAATTTAACATATTTCATGGAAGAGACTAAAAAAACCAGATGCCAAAGCAGGCACCTGATTTTGACATTTTTGCATGGTATTTCAGGAGTACCTTGAAAATTAACATCTCTGTAACCTGTATCATTCTCCTCATGTTATTAAGAAAAGAAATGTGCTATGTGTAAAGATATTTTAGAATACAAACCATTCGGAGAAAAAATGGTAGCAAAAATAGAAACATGGAAAAATTCAGGTTGGCATCTAGTCCAACCTTCCCGTTGAAAGCAGAACCATCTCTGAGATTAGGTTAGATTGCTCAGTTGTAACCCCACTAAAAAATTACTTGCTATCAAAATGATCCATGCTTTTAAAATGGAAAATAAGGGAAAAATAAGTGGTTAGTAGCACAAAGAGTTGGAAAAGGGTTATAGAGATGTTTGTTCTTCTGCTATCTTTGTAAAATTTATTCTTGCAGAAAACCCCAGTTATGCAGACACACAGTACTGCTAAGTTGCTGCAGGTAAACAGCATTCACATCTTACATCTGCTCTTAATGGTACAGAATTACTTTTCTGCCTGACTTCTGTAAAAAAAGATATGCAACATCTTTTTTCTCCTAAAGAAATATAATTATAACTGAAGGTAGCAGTTAACAAATCAGCTGAGAGAAGAGTTATCTTATTCTTTGAGTTGTATTTTCCACATCTTTACTCACACTGTCCAGACACAATCTGATTTGTGTAATCTCGCAGTGTCTACTTTAAAACCTTTATCTTCTCCCCCCTCTTCAGAAATGCTGACTTGTCGAGTCACCATATTAACAAAAACACAAATTCTAAAATAAAATGAATAATAGTAAGATTTATACTTGTATATTTTGCTTCACAATACCAAAGTAAAATCACTTTTCACTAATAAAGCATAATAGACTCCACAGTATCATTAAAATGCTTTTTGTCCAGGCACATGACTGAAATAGATAAATCAATGTTAAAAAAAACTTGACTTACCTTGTTTCACTGTTTTAAGCACAATCAAAGTTGACAGAAACCTCAGAGGCATACAGAAACTCTTAAAGAAAGCTGCTGACTTTGATTTACTTTCTGTAGACTGTTCAGAAGAACTGTGTGGGTTTCCCTTACTCACTATGCCTTTGAAGATATCTTCGCCAAGTCTCCTCATGGTTGATCTTATTGTTGTGTGCTGCTTCAAACAGTGCATGTAGTTAGTGCAAACATTTAAACTTGACACACATATGTTCTCCATGCAATTAAATATTAAATTGCAAATGCTTTGACCATGTATAGGAATATAATCAGTATAGGAGATACTCCTTTGTTTCAAAAGCTGTTGAACAATATTAACATGGTGCCTTATCAACACACACTTCAGCACGAGACTAATTAGTGAGGGTCCTGGATACTGTGACATTATTTAAGTTGCCTCTGGTTCCACAAAAAGCTGCTTCAGTCAACTCAATTTTGTAAGCTTGCCTGAAGTTATATCCTTTAAAAGCATTTACAGAATCAAGGTCTAAATATGAAGCTGAAGAATACTTGTAGAGGTAGAGGTAACATCTACTAGATTTTCATCATAAACTCTATAGAAATATTTCCTCAGAATCAAACTTCACAATATGCTTGTTTAAAACATAGTTACTTATTAGAACTAAACCCAGTATCTTACTATTGTATAGAATTTAAACTCAGGATATTTACAAAGTTTCTAGCATTTGATTTAGCAAAAGAACATTGACAGCACTATGCTGGGTCTGTACAGTACGACAACTGTCTTTTTCTTTATTATATTGCTAAGTATTTTCTTATGCCAGTCTAGTCAAAAAGAGCAAGGAATGTCTTGTGGTTAGACATCAAACAGAGGACAAAAATCAACATTTCTTCGCTTCTTTGCCACTCATTTCCATGACTTTCAACAAATCTCATTCATAAAATACACAATAAAATAATTGCCGTCTCTAGTGCAAGTTTTGTTAATACATATGTAAAAATATAGTTTCAAATGTGCTTAGACATCACAAAAGAGATCACATACACAGGGAAACTACATTTAGATACACAGTGCAAAATTTAAATTTAACATGAAAAAGAATTTATTTTTCATTTGCCACTTTCTGCAGTCAACACTATGAATTTATGTTTTACAAAGACAGCAATTTCTTTTCTATATGCTACCTGAAAACATCCATTTTTCATATGTATTTAATATGCAAATTTAATATGCAATCCATTAATATCTTCTGTGATTTTGTTTTTAAAAACATACTGCATGAGGCCTACTTGTTTTACCTGTATATCAGTGTCTAATTGCCTTATAGACCAGTAAATAAATTTAATGACAGGCATGTGCAGTTTAGGATTCACATATGGCATCCACTGGAGCTGCTCAGTAGCTATAGGCAAAAGCTGCAAAAATATACAAAAATAGAATTACATGCAGTATATTAACTATTCTGTAAGCTAAGTTAAAGTGAAAAACAAACAAACCAACCTCCTAACTTTCTCTTGGAGTTTATCAGATTACATATGCAAATGTTCTCCAGGCAGGTCAAGTACAGCTAACAGAACTATATGCATACACAGGTGCTAAATTTTACATAGGTTTACATGTGGGAGTGGAGATATATGTGAGCTCAATCTCATGTAAATCCAACCACAGTGCCTACAGATCTTTTATATAATGAATAAATACAACAAAGTAAATTTTCTGAACATGTCACCAATTTCTAAATCTAAATCTCTATCACAAGAGAAAACAATAGAGGTGTTGAAATACAGCATAGCATCACCTTTTGTTGGTGATAAATTGAAATTTTAAGATCTAAATAAGCATAGAAATATTTTAAATTTGACTTGTTGATCTCCTTCAAACAATGCATCACACATAATACACAAGAGAAACTATCACCTCACAGAAGTCACTTGAAATAAAATGCTGAAGCTCTTAGGCTGAGACAGGACACTTTCTATTAAAAATTATCTGTATGCTTTACAAATGACAAATTATGTATTATATCTCACTGCTGGAATGAATATTGACTTACTAACAATTATTTTGTTTTAATTACATGATGAACTGTTATACTCTCAGAATCATTTAAAGTACAGCAAAATCTGAAAACATATTAACACAAGCAAACAACCCAAGCCCCTTTACCTTCATACACTTTTCCTGAGTACAGGAGTTCTTTAAATTCTGGGTAACCCTAGGTTTATGACTGTCCTCTCTCTCTTCTTGTGTTTTTATTTTGCTAAGATGCTGGTCAGAGATCCAATCCATAAGATAAGTTAAGAGCTCATAGACTTGTGAATTCAATGGTAGCTGTAATATATTCACATCATCAGATATTTCAGCTTTCAATTTAATGCTTTTTCTAAGCTAAAACAGTAACAGACTGAAATCCATGACAGTACATTAGCTATGAAATATTATGCACAATAGAAAGGATGAGAATTTTATGCCTGATAAAATCTGAGAGGTGAGTTACTGCAGTGTGAGCTTGTGTAAAATGTATTCAAGCAGACAGCGATCTTGAACAGGCCATGTGTGCTCTGCTGGGCCTTGTACCTAGTATGTACCTAGCCTGTATAGTATGAATGTAACTGTAACTTACAGTATCTCTGGGAAAGGTAAACTGTATGCACATTGAAGGTTGGAAGGTGGCAATCCTGACTGGGAGACCCCTGTACATCAGGGAGTCAGAGATCCAACAGCACAGTTAACCTGAGCAGGTGCAGTCTGTGCTGCGCTGCACAGATAACCAACAGCACAGTTTATCCTGTGCTTGGCTGCAGGATAAACTCAGGCAGCTCCCTCTTGGTACTGCTGATCCTGCCTGGCCTTGGCCTTGTCTAAAAAGGCAACAAGTTCTTCTCCCATGAATGTCCTTCATGAACAGAGTTGTTTTCTTGCAAGAAAATTACATATATGTTGAGTGGCCAAAAAGGAGGGGCTTCTTTCAATGGACAGGCACTGCTCAGCATGCCTTGGGAAAAGTCCACCAGGGCTCCATTTGATGCTGCACAAACAACATTCCCAGCATCTAAAGGGACACAAGATTTACTCACTCTCTATATTCCTCCTCTTACTCTGTCTTTAATAGCCATTTAATGAAGCCATTTGTTGTCAGCCTTTCTTACAAGGACCCAGAAAGAACCCTGCAGTGTTTCTTTCTCTTTCTCTCACACCTTACTCCCCAGTGCAAAACACCTATTGTGATGATTTCTGGGTGTGAAAAATATGCTCATAATTCATTTAGTACTTGATCAAATGGTAGTAAAACAGCTTGGAAAAAAATTGATACAGAATCACTACACCTTGTAATTCTGGAAGAATGAAATACAGGAGAAAACAAGTCTTTAAAGTCCTTCACATGGGGAAATTCTTATTTCAATATACTAGACCTACTTTGTTTCATTTCATGCAATCCATTGTTGATAAATTTAACTGGGTAACTAGTATTGTTTAAAAAAAGAACAAAGACTTAATGAAACTCTGATCTTTTCTCTACTACACTGCAATGAAATATTTTACAAAAGAAATCCAGAGACCTGAAGACAGGCTGCATGAACAATTCCCTAAAGACCTCAAAACTTTTCTTCTATCTACCTTCAGATAACTGTTTTCCTCTTCACTCAGAACTGTAACTACTGATACTATTTATATTTCATGTGCAACCGAAGTATGCTAAAACCTACACAAAGAGAATTTATGGCTACATATAGACAGCACAGTTTTAAGGCATTCACTGTAGATCAATTAGATAGGGTGGTGTGAATATCTTTCTCATTTCACAGTTTACCTCTAGCTGGGAAAAAAGCATAACCAGCTGGGAGATGTTGGCAGAGTAATACCATAAATGGAACTACATGGAGACAGAAAGAATTTCATTAAGTGATGTAAGAAGGTTTTTTAAGGAAAAAACGTGATTGTTTTGGAACCATGAATGAACGCTGCATTTAATCTCTGTTCTTCACTAAAGATTACATGTCAAAAAAAAAATAATAGCACTATACCACTTTTGGTTTAGAAGATTAAGGTTCTTTGTTGGATACTTCTGAAAGACTACTTTTTACCTGGTGTTATTCATAAGGATAGTGCTGTACTGTAGCAGTAACCAGAATGAGTCTAAGATTTGTTCTGATGCAGCAAAGAAACCTGTGACAGTGGATGCAAGTTATAATTCTAACTGGCAGATGAAAGATAACATCATATAAGGAGGAAAACTTGCCATATAAATAAAAATATACCCATATACATAGACATAAGCAATATGAAATCCAAGACATATTTTTAGCAGCAAACTTAATTCTTTGTTAAGTGTGGGTTTTCCCCCAATATAATCTGTTTCTCTTCTTAGTGTAACTTATAAAATAAAATTAGAAGCTACATTCTGCAATTTCTAGCAGATGCACAGAGAATGTTACACTGCCTAATGTCTTCCAAATTAAAAGATTCAAGACTTCTGCTTAATTCTTACCATAGCAGTTCTTGATGTTGCCATCACTTTTTCCTGTTTCACAGGTTTGCCTTCTTTCACCACTTGACACAAATCATTAGATTTCCGTACCTTTGAAAATTCATGCTTCCTCTAAACAAAATATAACAATTAATTATATTTCACTGGTTGCCTATAAAAGCAGGTACATGTAAGAACAAACCTTACTTGCAGATTTTCTAAACGAGCTTTTGCTTTTCGTGCTTGACCTTCCAACTTCTTGTTCAACTCAGTTACATCACTTAACTGAAAGAAGCAGAAAATATTAAACTGTCTGTAAATTCAAAACTCACATCTTGACTTAATTATCACACTGAAGTAACATAATGTTGTTGAGTAGCTAAATTATTTAATATTTTCTTATTAGCATGAAAAGTAACGGAAACAAAATCATCATCCACCTCCCTCAACAAATTACAGAATCATAGACTGGTTGAGATTTGAGAGAACCTCTGGAAGACCTCAAGCTGGGCCAGGAAGAAGTGGCTGCTATGTCCAGACAGCTTTTGAATACTTCTAAGGTGTTAGACTCTTATCATCTCTGTGGGCAACCTGTTCCAGGATAAGTAAGACAGCAGCAGTATCTCTTTGTTGACCTGCCGCCCAACCTTTCAGAGTGCAGGAGGATAATAAGCACTACAATGGCACTCTAGATATACAGGCACTTCACATTTGATTACTTTTCATGAAGAAGTGGCAAAAATGCACAAATTCAAGAATGTTATTGTAGTCTTGTTAATGGGGAAAGTGGTTACTGACCATGCTAAAAAAACAGTTTGTTTGGTGGGAAAAGATCAGGAAAACTGCAACCTCCATTTAAATAAACAAAACCCTATGCTTTACCCATAAAACAATAAACAGCATGATCATCACAGAAGCCCTCAGTTTGTACAGAAATGCAAAGATTTTACAGTGAGAGGAAATAGCAAGACAGATGGGTTGCATCAGAACCATCAGCATTCTAGGAATTAGGTCTGACATTTTAAGGGAAAGGCTCTGCTGTAGATTTTTATTGTATCCAGATTATCAGAACATTAATTAGGTCATTAATTAGGTCAATGAACAAACAATGCTCAAATAATTTAGATAATTTATGTATCACCATTTTAGATCAGACTTAACAGTCAAGTGAGACAAATTCCTACTCTATGCATTAATATGAAACACACCATTCTAGTTTACAAATTGAGAAAATACTACCTTCATTAAAATTTGCAAAAATAACTGAAAATACTGATCAAACATCAAGTTAGAAATAAACATTCTACTTTTTATTTAATAGAATCAGCATAGTAATTTGGCACAACAAATCTGCACAGGGTGGATTCCATTATGTCATAAAATATTTTCTCTCCATCCATTCTCAATGCACTTTCCCTTCCTAACAATTAGCTGTTGCTAGTGAGTCTGTGGAATAAATCCTACTTTTTTTTATACTGTAAAAGGTCAGAAAGGCTAAATTTCAAGTACTAGAAACAGATGAGAAAAATATTTTCAGTCATTCATACAATTCTTGTCTTAGACAAACAAAAGGTCAGCAATTTTGCAAACTCAAGCTACTCAATTTTGCAAACTCAAGCTACTGTTGACTGTAACTTGTAGAATTATTTATGACAGGAAATAATAAAGTTTACCTGCTTTCTTAAAGAGTCATTCACATCCCTCAAGCTGTCAAACGACGACTTCAGCCTCCTATTTTCTTTAGTTATTTCTCTCAAGGCTTCTGTCAGCTGCTTAACTTCTGCCTCATGTTGCTGTAGAAATATCAAATTTAAGAACATGTTTTATAAGAGACTATTCGAGAAAAAATAAGTTCCAGTTAAGTGTTAAAAGAGTTGGACAAACTTTCTCATATGAAGTTCTTCATGTCCAAATTTGCATGTTCAGTCAGCAGTGAGGAAAAACAAGCTATGTACTGCCTATCAAGAAGGATCTATACAGAAACTGAGAGCAACATGGACAGCCTATAGCTCCTATTGCTGCCTATTCTACCCAGACCAACTACATACATGCATATTTCTCAAACAATCAGATGTGGGATGCATTTGTGAACTAAAGTCAGTGACGAAGCTTTTACTTACAGCTCACTCTTCCAAATATTTACAAAAGGTTGTGACTGTTTGGGGTTTCCACTCATGTTTCTAGTTTTGCTTACTCTGAATCACACAGAGTGAGAAACTAATCCTACACCTTGTAGAGACCGGGGCTCTGATTTGCAACACAAGCATATGAATTAGTAAGTACAACCTGCAGATCCACTGCAGTTCATCTTTTACCCCTGAAATTTGTTTTATATTTAATCTTTTCTGTACCTGAGATTTAAGTACCTCAGATTTGATAAAATAACAAGGTTTATTTTACTGAAAATATTCTAACATTCATTTCTCCCCTTCCATGAATTCACTCTTCTTCACTACTCTTTCTTTCCACACCCCCAAAGCTAGGGTGGTCTTCCTCCAAACTTTTTGAGTCTGTTTGCTAGTACTCTCTGCAACAGGTGTTATGTCAGAAGATCTCAATGTGTCTTAAAGCATTTCCAAGGAAATCCACTGCAATTACAGCTAATGCAAAGATACTAATTTAACTTACACAATTACAGATAGACCACATTTTTTTCTCTAATATTAGTCACGTAGCTTTCATTATTTTACAAAAAAAGTTACCTCAGTTTTCTAACTTGTAACTGTAAAATGAACTACGCATCAGACAAGTAAATGCACCATTCTGAAACAGAAGTCATACAAAAACTCTAGCAATATTGTTCAGTACTTTTTATTTAAATCTTTCCTTTGGGGATTTCAAGGGTTTCAAAGAAATAAGCAGGATTTCCAGCAAACATGTGATGGCTAAGATAACTACAAATTAGTTAAAGGGCATATAGAGCAATATCTATCATTAAAAATACTATTTCACCTCTTTTATAGCTGCAATTTTTGTGTGAACTTCTTCCTCAACACCTCTTATTTTAGCCAAAGCTGCTTCGTGTTGAAAAAACATTGCTTCTTGTTCTGTTAGACAACGCTCTCGTTTCTGCAGTTGCAGAGCATACTCCTGCTGTGCTGAACTTTCTCTCTGTATCAAGAAAAAAAATGTTAAACTACTTTAAAAACCCATGTGAAGTTTTCCCAAATTATGCTGACTTTAAAATTTTGTCCCAGAGATACATTTAGCTCTTTGCGAAATTACAGTTACACAAGAGCTTACTAATACAAAGTATCTTGACAGACACCTCTGTTCAGTTTCCTCCCACATTAACCCAAAAGACCTCCACGTGCATTGGAATGGCTCAGCCTCCCAAAATGCAAAATTCAACTTCACTCCAGAAAGTTAAACTTTGGCTTTTGCTTCCCAAATATTTGGATCATGGTATTAACTGTAAGACAGAACAGAGTCTGATGCGACTGTCTATGTTGAACACTAGATTAATGATATTGTTTCTTCAACTAGTGAGAAGCATCCCTGAAAAAGCAGTGAAGAAAAGAAGAGATACAAAATTATTTTTATCTCATATGTTGCAAAAGACTGTCATGGCAGGGAATGCAGCAGAAGCTTAGGAACTATTACAGAGTAAAACCATATAGGAGGTACCCAAAATTCAAATCAAAGCATCATTACTGAATCACAGAATTAATCTAAGGAAAGAGGCTGATGAAGATACAGATTTAGTATATAAGTAACTGTGATTAATATAAAGTAATAGTAAAAAATAATAGTTTTAATATATAAGTTTTACTATAAAAGTAATTTCATATTTATTTTTCAAAAGTGAGAACATTCATAGAGTTATTCAACAAAAATTTCAAGGTGATCCCAGTTCCTACCTGGAGCTTCTGATGTATGACAAATAATTCATCATAAATTTGAGCGATGTGAGGTGGTATTAAACCTTGCCTATTGCATGCCTGAGCACCAGTTCCATGCACAATTTTCTTTAACAAACCAAGGTTGTTAATTTGGTCTGTATTTTCTGGAGTATTTGCAGCCAAATGAGACGGCAAAGTGAGGCCTGTGGACATGGAAAAAAAAATGCATTTTACATTAAAAAATCAGACCTAGCTACATATTGATATGATTTTTGTACTAAACCAGCAAAAATGTGTTCTTAGAATTCACAGTTACAAGTACAGAGCGAGATGTATCAAAATGTGAAAGTAATCTAAAGAATTACAGAAATTTGTTTAAAGTTCTTGTTCCATGATTTATTCAAACTGATCAAGAATCAACAGTTTTAGAAGTAAAACTAAACCCTCCACTGCAATATAGAAACCCCAGAGATATCTGCATGGAATCTATGCACAGATTGAATCATGTCACCAAAATCTCCTATCATTTTTGTAAGGGCTTCAGGCAAGTGATTTGCTGCTGATTAGACCTTAGGGTGACATCTAAGTAAACAGGACAAGACTTAAGAAACCTCCTAAAATAATTCTAAAGAAAGTACTCATGTGAAAGATAAAATCCCCACATTAAAATACATTTTAGGTGACTAGTGTATTTCTGAATTGAACAGAAATAAATTTACTAGGAAGTTTTTTAAGTTACATGTTATACTTCACAGAGAGTTGTAAGAATGTAAAAAATTAAGTCTTTATTACCTGTTCCCGTGTATATAGCTGTATTCCGAATTGCATCAGTTTCAGAGCAAATAACACTGTTTTCTTCTACTTCCAGACCATTTGAACCACAAAAATAATCTTTCTCATCATCAAAACTAAAAGTACAAAAGAGGACTAACTCTAAATTACTCAATTCCTTTCTAACATGATACATTAAGCAATGTTTGCTTTTTTATACAGATTTGTTTCAGTCTCTGTTATGCAAGACTTTGATATTTTAATGATAACAAATAGCAGAGTTAAATCATTTGGATGAAAGGCATTATAACTCACAAATCTCAACCACAGAAATTACATGTTGCTGACTTAAAAGTTGTTACAATAACTAAGCTTTTCATGCTGTAAGCACATGTAAGTAACAGGTAAAACCAACACTCTTCTCTCGCCACAAACCACCAAATTCCTGGAGAACTAAAAATACAACCCCCCTTTTTAAATTATATTTTCCTGTTTGGTGTAAAATAGCCCTTAAAAGAGATTTCTTGGCATTTGGAATTGAATTATTGCTAAATAAGCATAAATCTTTTTATCAGTCTGGGCAATTCACTTTCCTCCTAGTTATTTTTTTATCACCTAGTTAAGTTTATGTCATTCCTGTATCCCCTTAGCAATTTCAACACACACAGATTAGATTAAAAGTAAAACAATATTCCTCACCAAAATAAGCATCCTCATGATCACATAAAATAGCTACAAACAGTTCTTTACTTAAAAAGAAAACAATAAACTTAAAACAACTTTTGCACAGTCCAAATACATCTGTTTTATTTATGGTTTTATGAGAAAAAAAAAATAAAGGAGAAATAAAAACACCTCCTACCAATCCCAGTTTTCCAAACTTTTCTGGAAATCACTATATCTGATGCTCTTCTCTCTTCCAGTTTCAGTAAATTCTGACTCTAAAGAACAATTTGATAAAGAAATAGTTATATTTTTCAATGAGCTGTCAGTGCCACATGAAATATATAAAATTGCAACAATTTTATTTCACATTTGAGAAGCTGACATTAAGAAATCAATAAGGACTTATTAGAAGCACTTGCCATGTAGTCTATGTAGGTATAAGAACCAAAAGCACCACTGATGCAGTCTGACAAATTACGAACTTAATTATAACAGTTTAAGACATAGTAAGAATTATTTAGCTTTCACATATGATTTGTCTTTCTTAAATGCTAGAGCTTGTCTGCCTGTAGAAATTTTTCTGTAACTGAAGTCTGACAAATAGCCAGCTGCCTCCATGTACCAGTTTCTGAAAGAGACCAAATGCATTCTAGATATTAAGCATTTATGTATCTTTAAATTAAAGCTAAATACATGCATTATGAAGTAAACTGCTACCAACTAATTCAAGCAGGACTTAAAGACAAACAGGCTGTGAACCATTGCTCCAAAACATCCTTTGCACTTTTTACATGTTAACATTCCCAGGCTGGCTCCCAGGTATCACAACGCCCTGATCAAGATTACCTCAGTTTAAAATGAGAAAATACAAAACTAAATAAATTTAGGAACAATGCAGCTTTAGTATACATTTTCCCTGTAAAAGATATCAAAGCACCACTGCATTGCATTACCTTTGCAAACAAAGGAGCTTCTGCTTTTACATTTGGTATGCAACGCTCCCGAGAGGCAATCCTACAAGAAAGCAGAAAACCACTGTACTCTAGTCAGAGTTTTCATGGAAAAAGTATGTCACAACTCACTGGTTTAACAGTCAAACTGTCACACTTTGTGACAGAATTCTTACTATAAACTACTGGCTTTGAAAAGGGAGGGGTTTTAAATACATAAATGTAAATGGTCCTCATATTAACATAAAGACACAAATATATTCTCTATAGTCTAATAACAAAAAACTTGTAGTGTTCTATGTTGGAATATTTGAGACACTATAAAGCACTATGAAGACAGTAACATAAAATAAAGGCATGAAAGTAGATAGGTAATCATGGAAACAGTGCCATCTACCTTCATAGCTAGGCTTTTTATGCCAAAGTTTCCTGCTCTACTTTTTCTTACTAATTTATAAGTACATACTAAAAAAGTGAATGACAGAAACTTTAGGTTACAACTAAAATCAATTAAATGCACATTACAAAATATCAGACTCAAGGCAGCTCTCATGATCTTACTTATTTCACTGCATCTCTCTGCTATGTTCTAGATTAAGTGATCAACTGCTGTATTTTCTTGTCCTTGAATGACCACTTTTTAGTGAAATAACAAAGCACACAAACACATGTAACATTTCTTCCTTGCAAGCATTTAAGTCTCAGTAAGTTTTTTTTTTTAAAAATAAGTTTTTAAAATTACTTTTCTTTAAAGTACAGTTCTGTAACTCAAAGCAGACTATTCCCCAAGAAAAATTCCCCAGAGAATCTAGAACACCATCAAATGCTATTCAAGTTGCAAATCCTTCTGCAGGAACTAAGGGCACATACAGCCTGATTTTAGCTCAAAATCTTCACATCACATTTGAGATGACTCCTGATCCTAAAATGGCAAGCTACTCTTCCTGAGAGAAAAAAGGCTGGGTTTTGTATTCATTGATGATTCCCAGGATTAACTCAGTATCCCAATCCAAATATGTACCTAACTCAATTTCAATCTCTCCCAGTCTTGGGTTGTTCGTGGTATTTTTCCACCATACAACTTCCACTGCAGCATGAACCTGAGCACTTAAGGCCTTTTATCCCCCAGACACACTGGAAGCATTTGACCCAGAATACAGATGCATGAAAACAACTGCAAAAATTTGTTTCACTGAGAGACGAACAGAATTCAGGCAGAATAAAGGTGTCTGGCCAGCAAGTACTCCTTCTACTAAGTATCAAAGGCTTTTGAAACACCAGCATGGGGGAAGGGTCTTTCTGCTGAATTTTTAGGCAGATCAGTTTTGACTTGTCAGCACAAGCAATAAAAAGAGAGGAACCACAATACGGTTCCTTCATTAATCTGAGTGCAAAGAACTCAACCTTCTCTGGCGTAAAATAACGTTACCATACCTTGGCAAGGGATTGACACTCATCATAATTAACTGTCTGGTCATTGCAACAGTCTCTAATGAACCATGGGCTTGATTCCTGATTGACTAGATACAGAACAATTTCCTGCTCTCTGACAACAGAGCTAATCACTAAGCTTCACAGACAAAAAAAAAAAAAAAATAAAATCACAAACACACCTAATGCATTCTAAGTAAGGCTGTCAATCCAAAAAAAAAAAAAAGGAAAAAAGAAAAAAAAAATTAGTTATCCCATTATAAGTATTTCTTACAAGCTTAACATTGTCCTAAGAGGATTCACATATTTTCTCACTCAACTGGCAGGGACCAGGTCTTAGGCAAAAACTGCATGCTAAACTGTGTCTTGGTACCGCGCAGAATCTGGAATTACAATTTCCAGGGAAACTTTCTGCTCAGACAGAGGACTCGTCAGCAGCTGAACTGTGAGGCAGTGGGAGCGCGGGGCCAGGGCCAGGGGCAGCAGGAGCACGGAACCTCCTCAGGTCCGTTCAAACCCCGCTTTTGTCTCGCACTGCCGGGTACGGCGCTCACAACGAACCCCGAGGCAGCG